GCACTCCTCCGGCGGGGCGCTCGGTGATGAGCGGCTCTTCCTTTGCTTTCTGTTTTTGGGTTGGTTTTCTTCCTTTTTCTTTTTTTTTTTTTTTTTTTTTTTTTCCTTTTTTTTGTCGGTCGGAGTTTACAGTGACATTTTCTCAGCACATTTCGGTGACCCTCTTATTTTTTTGCCAGTGCTATAATTAACTACATACAAAGAATGCGCCTCGTTTACACATGGCAGCCAGGAAAGACGCCTGAGCTTTGAAGACCGCTGCTATCGCGTTTTCGATCATGTTTCCCCACATATTACACCACGAATTCTCCATGTGTGGTAGTTTCAGAGTTATACGTTTTTGTCTTGAACGTGTTATTTTGTTTGCCCGCGCATTTATGTATTTACGGATTGATTTATGTAACCGAAAGTAAAGATGAATCTTTGTTCACCCCCCCCTTCATCACACATGCCTGTGAATTATTCGGTATAAAGCGTGTGCGTGTGCGCGCGACTTGTGCATATGTACAAACATATATTAACACAACCAACGGGTAGGAGTTAAATTATTGTTTACAATAATTTAATGTTTGACACTAAAAGTAATTTCCATGGGAGAACTGCGTTTCGTCGTTCGAGACGTTTGGTTTTCTTTCTGCCATTTTGAAATAAACGCACACAATATTAGAAATAGGTAAACAAAGGGGGGGGGGGGGAATGTACAAGGTAAAATCTGTCAATCTGCCTGAGATAAAATATTAAAAAGAGATGGTGTGGGCTTGGTGACAATTTCTTACCAGAGCCTCTGCTAGAATCAACATAATAGAGTGTTGTGGGGCAAGAATATTGTGTACGTATTGTTAGTTATAGATCAGCCCCCTCCGTGGTTATTTTCGAAAATATGGAGGCTAACGTCGTAGGATTCACGGCAGTAGAATATCCAGTAAAATACATTTCAACAAATCAGTGGACTTTGTAAAATCTCTCTGTTTCGTGACCTTCGGGTCTTTTTCGAGTCTGTTGCCTTGGCCCAACGCTGACATACTGAAATTTATAGTCCAAGATTTTAAGACCTAGTTTGTCTGCATTTTTTGGCTTTTTTTCCCCCTCTAACAAACACAAACATCAAAATAAGGTGGTTTCAAAGAAAAGCGCCATAGCATATCGTAAACTCATTAGGTCCAGACGTCTAGCCATCTCAATGGTTTTATTATACCACGGTTCTTCCTGTTTTAAAAGAATTATAGGTATCTTCTCGACAATGGATGGGAAGCAATGCAACACCTTTTCCTGGCACTGCATGCTTTTGCCTTTTTTTTTTTTTAATAGAGGTAAAAAACATTAAACACCAGGTCTCTCAGCTCTCCCCTTAATCTTGAATTAACCGAACTGCTCGTAAATATTTACGGGTCCTTCATTTTAATGGTTGCTCTTTAAACAAAGCATTTTTTACAATGAACTTCATCTCAATTATCTTGATAAAGTCATGTGTGTTTATAAATGCAGAAGGCATGAGACGCGTTGCTAAATGAGCTCTCGCCAACAAAGCTGGACGTTTGGAAGCAGCCGTGTCCCCCCAGAGCTTCCCAACCTTCCGATTAAAGAGCGCAGAGGTTAGAAACACACAAAAAAAAAAAAAAAAAAAAAAAAAAAAAAAAAGGTTTAAGCGAATAGGCATCATTTTGCTTCACTGGCTCTGGAGGACCGGTGCGGAAATATTTCCTAAATTATCCCAAGAGATGGCTGGTGTTTCAAAGACCGCTCGTACGTAAGGCATTCGGGAGCAGTACGGCAGCGGGCGCACCTACACGGCGCGGCCGAAGCCGGCCTCTCCGCCCCCGACCCCCCAGAGGCAAAGTCCATTTAGCACGG